AACTTGTCGCACTTTCCACGGCATTACAATTTTTTGCTGCAATTAGTAATTTTAAGTAACTTATTTTATTTTTTTTTTTCCAAATTTATTAATCGTTTACTCACATTGAATATTCGCCGATTATCAGCTTGATAAGTGCCGCGCCGCTTAGAGGCTGCCTTGCAGGCTTCATAACATTCAGCCCAATAACGATTGATGGGCTCCCAAAGGTTGAGTTCGATTTCGCGTTGATACACATCATGTAGGGGTTTGACCTGGAAAAATATGTATTTTGATAAAAAAAAAAGTTGTTTAAAACATTTCCTCTATGAATATTTATGTGTAGTATATGTACACTAGCGGTCAAAACTGGATGGATGGTGTTTTGGTTTTAATATTTACAATGTTTTTCCATCTACATTTTTTATGCTATTTTTTTATAAAAATATGGTTCATGCCTTAGCGAAAACCATATAAATCAAACTTCTAAACTTTATACAGAATTTAGAAAAACTTAACAATTTTCCAAAAAAAAAATTTAGCTTTTTAAACAGAATTTTTATAAATCTTTTTGGTACAAGGATTATGAAATAAATACAATGCAATTATTTTTAATATTTTTTATTATTATTTTTTTTGTTCACAGCGGTTATCGCTATTTTCCATAAAAACGAATATTTCATGTGCAAGAAAATGCGCAAGTCTGCTTGCGTTAAAAAAAAATCAAAGCTAGTTTTTATAAATTGCACTTGTTATATAAAAAACAAAAAAAAAAGTCGTCCATAAAAAACAAATACTAAAAATATTTGTGATTTTTTTTTGTCGCTCAAAATTTGCACTTATTTTAGTAAAATTTCATAAGCCTTGTAACTGCATACCCAAAAATTTTAGGAAAATTCTGATTAAAAAGCTCAAAATTTTTATGAAAATTTGTTGAATTAGTCTAAATTCTTAAAAAGCTACGAGAATTTTTAGCCGCTTAAAACTTGCGAAAGTTTGTTGAATTTTTTGGAATTCTGTACAAAGTATAAAGTCAGATTTATATTTATGGATTTGGTTAAAACATGAACCAAATTTTTATAAAAAAAAATTACCAAAAAATGTTCGCTTGAAAAACATTGTGAATATTAAAAAAAAAAAAAACACCAATCATCCAGTTTTGACCGCCTGAGTCTAATTTAGTTTTGCAAAGCAATTTTGGGAAAAAAATGAAAAATTTGGTCCGATCCTAAGGGTCGCCTCATTAAATTTACGTCACATTTTTGGCATTTACAGTCGGATTCTAATCGATATTTTTCTCTCGAGGAGCAAATATTTTTTTTTGTACCAAAGTTCAATGACTTCAATTACCCCGTTCTAGTACTAAAGAACTTTTTTCTCCCTCGTAGGGCGGTGCGGTCTAATGTAAATTAGGGTGTCTCGAAAATTTGTTTTGTGAAAATCGCTACGCATATGTACTTTCTTATGGCCTACAAATTATATATAAAGACTAAATTATGACAAAAAAACAGGACGACTTGAAGTTGAACTTATTACAGCTGAAAAATTAGGCTGTGATTGCCATATCGTGCGACAACACTTCTCAAACATGAAAAATTTAACATGAGTGCGATAAAAGAGCGCAATTACCCATCCACCAACTTTCGCCGCCCGCTTTGAACGACTCAGCCGATATACTGTAGGCCATGGGTGCATTATTTCTTCTCATTATTGGCGTCTCGCCTCGTCTTGTTCGAGTGAAAGAGGAACGCGTCAGGTCTCAAGTGAACTAAATTTCCATTATCGTCTTTACAGAAACCAGTCTCGGTCTATAAAACATTTCATTGCTGCCTAAGTGGGTAGTATAAAGCAACTACCCCTTCCGCAGCGGAACGAAATGTTTGGGAGATGGAATCCCACTGCTCATTTATGTATATGCGGATGATCAAAGTACCTACTTTATGCAGCATTGAGAGCCGGCTGGAAAAGTTCTCAGCAGTCGACGTCGTACTTTCGTCGCGCCGCCCTTGACGCACTCCAAAGGACACCTGCTGGAGTCTGGTACTATGAAGTACTATTTGTGCTTCACCACGATCAAGTCCATCACTCTATTTCCGTTGTTGGAAGTATGTATTGTCATGAAGACTGAATTTATGGTTTCTTGAACCAAATATGCCTTCTTTGCCCAACTTGGCGTTAGTAACCTTCTCATTGTCCTTCTCCTTTGTATGTAGGGCGTGTAGAGGTACAAATTCATAAAAAATATGTGTCACAATTTATGACTCTTCAAAGCGTGCCAGACATTTTCCAAATATTACAAACTTACTATGTTAGGGTGTGCCTACTTTGTAAGTACATACATACATACTTTTAACATTTTTAACACTTTACCCACACAAAAGTGCATCTTTCATTGTCGTATTATGCTAATTGCGACAATGATCTACGCTCGTTTGTTAGTACAGACAGGAACAACAACTCAACCAACAGCTTCAATTTGCAAACGAGACAAGTGAATCATTTGCAAAAAATGATGCCCAACAAGTTAAATGCAATTCGCTGTATGTTATGTCATTCACTGCTAAGCTCAAAGCGAACCAACAACAACAACAACACCAACACAAAGCCAACATAATAGCAATTGTAACAACAGAGGCAACAATTGCTTGCTTATTAAACCCACATGAGTGTTCACGCATGCGCAGACAGACAACAAGTAATTGCAATGCAATGCAAAATTAGGAAATAGCTACACAAGTATGTATGTATGTATGTAGATAATATACTACAAATGTATATAAGCACATAAATATCTTTGGCATTTATAACTGCATGAAAAGCTGACGGAAAATTGTATAGGTATATATGTAGATTGTTAAGCTGATGTTACGATAAAATGCACAAAAGCATCACGCATGAGTCTTTGCTTTATTTCAATTTGCGGAATATTTACTAAAGAGGCAGAGCAATCGGCGCACAATGAGAGTAAGTAAATCTCGCTGAAAGGCAATTGTTTGTGGGCAAAGCACGTGTGCAATCATAAAAAGTTAAATACAGGGTAATCCATCAGCTGAAAGTTTGTTTAGTTGCGAATTCTAAATTCAAATATTCAGTAACAATTTGGCACGAATTTTGGAGAGGCGGTAGCTTTATTGTAGATTGCTGACTTTTTGCGGAGCAATTATTCAGGTGAACCCGAGATCTATTTTTAATTTTAGCCATATCATACAGATTTAATCGAGATAAGAAATCAGACAATATCCAATGCTCCGCTCAATAAAAATCGCATTGCTATATTATTTCCTCAGTTTTAGGAAAGTAACCAGTTCAATCTCAATCTGTTGAATGCTGGACATTTTTAACAGATGTAATTTGTTGAACATTTACATAATCCCGGGAGCATCTACACACATACGTGATTTGTGTTCAATTCGATGGCGTAAGTACCTTCGAGCCATGGGAGGAGATCAAGGGGATTGATTGTTCATTATAGACTTTTGCTGGGGTTTCGATCCCCGGCGATTATCATTTACCCTACATGATTTACTGAGCACGGGCACTGAGCATCGCTACCTTTATACTCTTTCGAGGAATGATCGTTTTTCAAATCAGTAAGGATATAAATGATGGAGAATAGGATATTGTATGATGTTTCTTTTGCTAAGAGACTGGACCGGACCGTGAGTTACCTAAGTATTTTTATCCAGAAATTAATTTTAGAAATTTTAGAAAAAGTTATTTTTTTTTTTAAATCGGAAAAATATTGAGAGATTTTGAGAAAAAAAGGGAAAAATAATACAATTTAGAAAAAAGTTATTAAGAATAAATATGTTTAACCAAATTCAAGTTTTTCCCGAGAAAAAATTGCGGTGAAAATGATCGATTAGCGAAAAATTATTTTTGGTAATAGGAATTTAAAAAAAATATATTAGCTGCAAAAATATTAGAACAAAAATTTCCTTTTTAAGATTTAACATTTTAGGTGAAAATTATCTTTTAAAGATTTTTTTACAAGAAAAGACATTGCGAATAAAAATTAAATTTTTTGGAAAATAGACAAACCCGAAATAAAAATAAACACAATAGATACTTTAAAAGTGTTTTTTTAGAAAAAAAATATTAAAAAAAAAAATGATTTCTCTGAAAAAACCCAAACCTCAAAAAAAAAACACAAAACCTCTAACTGAAATTAATGGAAATTTTAGGAAAAAAATATTTTTTAAAAAATTTTTTTTCTATCCGATTTTCATTATTCAATATTCAATAATAATAAAAACTACAGTATAAAAGAAAATTAAGTAAAAAAAAATATACAATTTTATTAACAAAAAGATACAACATAATTGCCGCTTTCACCAACAATTTAAGTGAAAAATTCTTTTTTCATAATATGTAATTCATTCTCAAAATTAACAGAAATTAAAAATACAAAAAAAAAACATTTTTCTTTTTAAAATAATGGGATCTATAAATTTATTAGAAAACTAATTATATTAAAAAGTAAAATAAAAAGAATTCTTAAAAATTTAATCAAATGCAAAAGAAATTCTTTTTAAAAAATAAAATCTTAAAATTTAGACAAAATTAAATTGAAAAAAAAAAACAAAAAAAAGAAACAGGGACCCGGAATTTTATTTTTGGACTTTTATTTTAATGGAAATAAAATAATCGGTCAATTCGGACTTTTATTTTCTTAGTCTAGTAATAACAGCTGAGCTTGGCCAAATATTTTTTAAAACCGCAATAAAAGTCCTTTCCTAATAATATTTAAACAAACTATTTATCCAAATTAAACACATTTGGTATCAAATAAAACAGGACTGAAATAGCTTTCAAACTAAAAACTTTCCACCATGAAAGTTGGCAAGTGAGCCAGAAAAAAACAAAATTTTTTTAATATAATTCAGAGATAGGGGAAACCAGTTCACTTGCATGTATGTATGTATATAAAAAAAAATTTATTTATTCGAACAAAAATGGCGGGAGACACTGTGGACAATGGAAATCATCACTTACCACCTCTGCATGATTGTAAGTCATGACAGTTGAGAAGGGTATGTGCAAAAACTTCATAAATTTAATTAAAGAAATTAGTACAAATGAAGCAGTAGATACCATATAGACGCTGTGTGTTAGTAGTCGCGCTTAGACATCCGTATTTTGTATAGATTTCTTGCCTGTCAGATATCTCAGAGTACAAAAATGACGATATTTTTTCAAGATCTTCATGTGATCAGTTATAATTTCGACTCTATGTACGGTGACAAGTACTCACAATCCTGAGTGTAACAAATTG